CGACATAAGGTTGTAAAACTTTGTAAAAGTGAGTTTGCGTAACAAAGCTAGAACAAATGGCCAAATTGTGAAAGGAATCTAATTCTGATTATAGGTTCACCTCCTGTTCATCAGCACCTGCCAGCTTTTCATGAATGAGTAAAAATAACACTTGACATTCTCTATGTGACAGAATTCATTAAATTTAGCTTAACAGCAAGACATTTTAAATGTGAATGACGGGGCTCACTAAGCTTCACTGATAAAATTCTGCTAACTGACCTTAAGGAACTTAAAGTTTTCATACAACAGGGGGCACCCGCGTGGCTCAGTCCCTTAAGCAGCTAATTGACCCGCAACCAACTCTTGATTTCCGCTCAGGTCGTGATCTCAGGGTCAGGAGCTCAAGCCGGTACTGGGCTCCCTGCTCAGCATGGAGTCTGCTTGTCCTTCTTTCCCCCTTTTCCCCTCCCCTTGCTGGTGTGTGCTTTCTCTCAAATAAATAAATAAAATCTTTAAAAAAAAAAGAGAGAGAGACTTAGCCCAATAAAGAAAACAACAGACAAATGTATGGTCATCTAATATAAAGCACCCATTATTGTTGATGAAAAGTTAAGTCATGAAACTCCTAAATATATATTCTGTTTCCCATGAACAATTTCAGTTCAAGGTGGGCAGATACTCATGTGTTAGTGTAGTGTTCCAATGCGGAGAACAAGGGTGGTCCAGCACCTGTTTCTTAACTGACTGAGTCCTTTGTTTTCTTCAAAAAGATCAGTAATTTCTAAAAAATGCCTTGATGTCAGTGCACAATAGGATCTTTCAGAAATGTTTAAATGTTGACAGAGGAAGTAGGATTCCCTCCTATTCATAACAAATCACGCAAGCAGGAATAACTCATCTAATCAGTATAAAATAATGTAATTGCTTTCTTGTACATATTTTAAACAGGTAATTAATACGCTTTTCTTGGGGGGTATAAGCACTAAATAATAATTACAGCTATATGCTAATGCCATTGGGAACCCCAAACCAAAAGCAGAGTACAGTACTAATCTAAATACCTAGACATTCTCCCAGTCATCTAGGCACATGTCTTCCTGGCTACCAGATCTCTATTTTCCACACTCTAGTCAAAATCCCTGACTCAGACAAATATTCTCATACTTAAAAGACAGAGCCATAAGGACCCCTGAAAAACAGAATGAAAGAGGGTTTATCTATTGCTATCTGAATCTGGGGCATCACTCAAATGAAATTATAATTGGTAAGACTGGGTTTAAATACAAATGCTTATCCTCTATAGAAATACGCAACATGAATTTGCAATGATTTAAAAACACTTATGTATTCTTTAAAATAAATGAAACCCACACAGACACTTCAATAATTTTGACCTAAAGGGTTCTAAGTCATTTCTCCATTATTTTTCCAATTGAGGGTTAAGATAGTTCTTTTAAACTTTAAAACTGATCACACAGTTATCTATTAATGGTTAAGGCCATTTGGTTAAGAATTCTGCAGACACATGAAAACTTCATAAAAACTATAAAAATTTTTGCCTCTAACAACCCAGGAATCTATAAACAATTCAGTAATTTTTTAAAAACCCTCTAAGTTCCAAACTTTAAATGTTAAAACTAAGCCTTTTCTACATCATTTATATGATTTAAGAAATGTATTTTTCACTCATTTCTAAAAGCCACATCTATCGATTTCCAAGTTTCCAATCAAATTTGAGTTAGTAGCCTTCACAAAGTACAAAAGTAATTTAAAACTAAAATTATTTAACCCCCAAGTAAGTTTTTAGAACTATTTTTTAAGACTAAAACATCAGAACATTCTCTCAATTCAGTGGTATTTTTAACAGGAACAAAAATGGAGATGTAAGTACTAATAATAGGCAAATAACATACATTAGAAACCATGTTTTTACACCAATTTTTAAAATAAGTCTATTATTTTAAGAGTTTTTGCAACCATTCTCAAGAAAGGGAAAATCACAAAGGGCGTAATTTTTGCAGAAGAGACTTTATAAAAGCATTCCAACTTCAATTTGGTTTGATACATTATTAGAACAGGGGGAAAATACAAATATCAAAAACCCTTACCTACAAAGGACAAGCATATGTTCTTAGTAAAAGACATGCCTGGGTGTTAGAGACTATTTGTTTCAATCTGGCACAGGTTTGACAGCTTCAGAACAAAAGAAACAAGCAGAAGATGATAGTTGTATCATGCATGGAAGAGGTATTTTAAACCTTAGAAGATTAACTATGCTTGAAAACTAAGCAAGTGTGGACTTTCCTTAACACTGTCCATTACAAATTTGTGTGCCATTAAATGCCTGCCAAATTGTATGAACCGACAGTAGGGTTCCTGGCACTTTTGTGATTCGGATATAACACCTTACAAGGAAAATAAAGAGAACTCTCTACGGGGGCCGTCAAATGCAAATAGAGATTTTTCAATCATATCTTTTGTTGTTGCTGCTGCAGGAGGCAAAAACTCAAAGTCAGATTGGAAAGACAGTCTTTTCAGAAGTTCAACGAAAGAATAAACTTGTTTTGCCTGGATATAATTTTCTAGTTTACTTCTGAAATAAAGTTTCTACTAAGTCAGTGGACAAATCTTTCTAGTCTATACAGGTTGGAATAGAAAAATGTTCATCTCCATTTCTGTAAGAACAGGACCAACGTGCATTTTCTAGATAAAACTATAAATAAAAATTTAAAAGTCAAAGGTAACTGCAACAGAATTTTATGTCTCCAACTCACTTTCCTCATGGAGAAATGTCTTTTCATTCCTTCAAGTGAAACACATAAGGAAAACGAAAGAAGAAATGCCAGGAATCATCAGACACTTCCTAGACAGATAGATACTGACGCCAACCTCAGGAAAACCTAACAGGTATCTTACCACTTCAGAAAAACAAAAAACTACCCGCCACAAATAATGCGGTGTAGTTCAAACTTGGAAATATAACTTGTCTAAAAAAACATGCAAAACATCGCTGCTTTACATTTTAAACAATTCTTGCTGATAAATAGGAAATGTTTTTACAACAGCATGTAAAGTCAAGTCTGTACATAAAGGCTCATGCCGGTTTTCACCCTTGGCAACCAAAACACACTTGAAGAGAAACTGTTTTCACTTCAGAAGTCATTTCACTCATTAAACGGGGAAGGAAGAGATGAAATTATTCATGTTTTGACCTTACCCATAAGCAAGTTCAGAAGGTAACTGCATTTATAGCAAGAACTATATCCTTACAAAGATATTATTAAAAAAAAAAAAAGGAGAAACGGTAGAATTACAAGTAAGCTTTAAAACAGATATGGCCTCTTTTATACAGTCACCTCGTTTCAGAGGATCTTATATAGACAAGAAATTTCAATGAGAAATAAGTTTTCATCTCTCACAAAAAATAAACTTAATCCCTCATCATTTTCCCACCAAAAACTCATTTGAGAAATAATTTATTGCATGAAAGCATTACTATACAGTATTTTAAAAAAGTAAGGTCATACTTATGTAGGCATAAAGTTTCAAAAATATTATGAGGATTCAGGGCACAAGGTGTTAAATGGGAAAAAGAGACGAAGCTATCCATTGTGCACAGAAATAATCTCACTCCTATTATAAAAAGGTATAAAAAATAACTCCCACTCGTGCCTTTTCCAAATGTGTTATTACATAACCTCCACACCTGGTGTTTCTAAGTGACGAAGATCCTTGAATGACAGTAATACTAAGAAAAGGTGTTCTGAATAGACATATTTAAGCTGACTGAAGTATATTTATTATCAAAAAACTAAAATTCTGAACAAAAACCATGATGGACCAAGGATTAATCATATCAGAAGAAATTCACTCTAATGCATGAGGTGACATAAAATGCAATAATTCACTGCACCTGAAACTGAAATCTGGAAATGCTGGACTTGAAAAATATCAACAGTATAGGTCATGGCTGAAAAGATAATGGTTTCCTCTCAACCAGGCAGCAAAAGCAGGAGGAAAAAACTCAAAGTCACATTTTAGAGTCTTTAAATATAAATAGTAATTCATATAACGTGAGACAGAAATTCGAATGAGAGGCCGTAAGAGACAGCTCAAGAGACAAAAGGGGAAGAGAGATGAAATTCAACTGAGGAGAAAAAAAAAGTAGACATGATACAAAGCTTAAAAGATTCAGCAGGAACTCAGGAGATAAATGAACACACAGAAGGAATTCTACGCTGTGTGAAAGGAAACCGGAAGATGCAGAGATGGTAGAAAGCCGTGCAAGGAAGCAGTTTCCATAGAGTCCTTTTCATTCTAAGGGAGGCAACGGCAGTCCATTTCTTTAGAACAATGAAGATCTGTTACTCTTTATACGCTCATTTTTCTTACACATGAGCTGAAAAATATCAAGGGTATGAGTCTAAATGAGGACAGAAATCCTATACCTCTGAAGATTACAGTTCAGATAAGCACACTTAGTACATCATAAAATGTTAAAACCTAGTTTTATTTCAATCTGCCAAACTGGAGACATACAATGACCTAAACATCCCTTTAAACCCCTTCCCTTGCAAAAAACAAACGATGGTGGTAAAAGGAGCATTTCTGAGGTTTGAACAAAGTAACATATAGCAGAACCTCAGGAAAGACTTCATTTAACTTTCTTTTGAACTTTAGGTTTTTCTTTGAGTAACCCCTGAAACCATCCAATGTCACCAATGCCATAAAAAAGAACCCTGGCCAACATTCATCTACAAAACTGCTTTTAAAAACAGCAGTCCTCCTCCCTGGCCAACCCTACCATGGTCTGTCCTCATCCTCTCGGGGAAAGAAAAAGCAAGTAACAGCTACACCACAAGGACTGAGTGTGAGGATAAAGCCGTACGCAACTGTCATTAAACGTAACTAACACACACTTCCAGTAGCTTCGTCACCTGTAGAGTCATTAAGAACCCCTTTTGGCTGCCTAAACAGCTGGGCCACCTCCTGAAGGAAAGAGGGGTGGAGAAAAGCCCTCAGTAGAGGTTGTCAGTATTGGTGGTCCGAGGGGTTTTGATCTTCTCGATGTTTTTGAGGATCACGTCGTGCAAGGTGGCATACTGGTTCCGAACGTGCAGCAGGATCTGGCGCACGCTCAGATACTCGTTCTCGTCCACCTCGGCCACGGTGCGGCGGTAATCTTCCACCTGGGGGTACTTCACGATCTTGGACACCAGCTTGGCCCTGGTGTTGTAGTAGGTGGAGAAGCGGCGCAGGGAGGAGGCTGCGGTGCTCTCCACGGTCCACAGCTGGTCCACGGTGTCCTCCTGGATGGACACGCCGAAGTTGTTGCCGTCCTCCACCTTCGGGATGAGCAGCTGCACCCACATCCGCACCGTGCTGCACTTCTCTCTCAGCAGCTCGATCTCGGGCTTTACCCGCTCAATCAGCTCCACCAGATGCTGGTTGCTCCGCAGCAGCTGTCCCTCGCCCCCAAGCAGGGCCGGCACCTTGAGCGAGGACTGGGGCTGCAGCGGCGGTGGCGGGTCCCGGTTGGGCGCGTCCCCCACGGGGTCGGACACGGCGGTGGGCTCCAGGGCGGGCACCGAGCGGATTCTGGACAGGTCTTGCAGGCGCAGCTCCTGGACCCGACTGTCCAGCTCCGACAGCTTCTGAGGGAAGAAGGTGGACACCAGATCCTCGGCCTCCTGCGCGATGCGGGCTCGAAATGAATCCACTTTCCCCTGCACGTCCTGCTCCAGCTCCAGCTCCAGCGGGGAAGCCATGCAGTCCAGGGCCGTCCGGCGTCGGGGCAGACACCACCCGGCTTCCCCCACCTCCGCTGGCAGGCCTTTGGCTGCTGCCACCGCCGCCGCCAACTCCCAACAGACCACGCCCAGCGCCGCCGGAAATGACGCGGAGTCCCGGCGGCCCGCGCCGGAAGAGACCGGAAGCCGCACGCGGGGCATGGCCTCCCAGCGACGCCCCAGCTAAGCAGCCCCGCTTTTGGAGGGGTGGGGAGAGGAGGCTCCACGGATCCAGGATCCCTGAGCAGTCCCTGGCCCCCTCCCCCACCTGCCGGCCCCTGGGCCAGAAGCCTGTGCATGACTGATGGCCCCGAAGAACATCGTTAAACTTAAGAACCGTGAAGACCAAGCAACAACGTGCTTTACACAGGAGCTCAAGGAAACCCACGATCCTGGATTCTGGACACAGGGTCTCCTTCGAAAGTCACCTCGAGAAATAGGCTCTCCAGAGTAGGCTCACTTCTGGAGAGCCAGAAGTCACACCTTTACTGGTAACTTGGGCGTATCCATGCTTCCCCCTTACAAAGTCAGAAGTGGCTCCCCCTTCACTAGGGCATTTTGATCAAGTTAGTAAAGTTCTGAGCTCTTCTTTGGCTTACTTCAAACAGTTTTTAGTTTGAGTTACAAATGTTAAGTTCTAGGACTCTTCTTAAAGCTCATCTTCTTTGGGATGATTAACAATTTGAATCTGGACTGTAAGATTAAAGTATCAAATATCTTCAATTTGGTAACTATATTGTAGTTACAGAAGTGAATATACAAAAAAATTTTTTAAGTGAATATTTTTTTTTTTTTTTAAATACACACTACAGTATTAAGGGATGAAGTGACAGGACATATTTAACTTCAGAGAGTTTGCAAAAATAGTGTGCATGTAGATGTGTACAGAGAAAGTTAAAGCAAGTGGAAAAATGTTAAAAATTGATTAATGCATATAAAGGTGTATGGGAGTTCAGTACTATAACTTTTCTGAAGCTTGAACTTGCTTCAAAATAAAAAGTGAGGAGTGGCTGGGTGGCTCACGTTAAGTACCTGCCTTTGGCTCAGGTCATGATCCCAGCGTCCTGGGATCCAGCCCCACCTAAGGATACCTGCTCTGGGGGAATCCTGCTTCTCCCTCTCCCACTTCTCCTGCTTGTGTTCCCTCTCTCACTGCCTCTCTGTCAAATAAATAAATAAAACCTTTCAAAAAAAAAAATTGAAAAAAAAAAAACTACCTTTTCCCTAAAGGCTTCCAGAATCATAGAGAAAAATTCTGTAACCTTCTAAAATTTCACTCCATTTGTTTATTTTCATTTCCCTGAGATAACTTCCTTTTGTTCTTTGCAACACCACACTGCATGCCTTTGATTTTATACATTATTGAAGTTTAGTTCAAAAGATTATTCTGAAGATGCTATAGTATAGTTCTGAATGTAACTGTCACCTCAACTGGACTGTAAACTTCATCAGGACATAAGTCAAGTCTTAATTTGTTGACATCAAATGTGGCACAAGGCCTGGCATGGAGCAGGTACTCAATACACGTCTAATAAAATGACCTTGAATTAGTAAGATTTTAGCAAACCATAATCTCACAAGATCTAGAACAGAAAAGAAAATATCAACAAGACAAACATGTTACAGGTTGGGCTTCCCAGCAAGCACACAGATTGCTTATAGGAGGTTTTTCAGGGGGTGTTCTTGAGAAAGGACCTAAGAAAAGGAAGAGACATAACAGGGGGAGAAGTTAGGCACTGATGTGCTCTCAGAGCCTCAGATGACCCCACAGAAAACCAGGAAAGCCCCTTCACAGTTGTCCTGAGTTGGGGACAAGGCAATTCCTGAAGATGACTGTTTGGCAGGACTCCAGCAGTTGGAAAAATAAACTCTTCAGTTTTGAGGCAGGAACTGGGGAGTGAACAGAGCTTCAAGTACACATGTATCATGGTAAGATACATACACTAACAAACTAGCAATTTAAGTTGTATTCAAGTCAACTGTGTTCAGCCCCAATTAGGGGCTGAAATTTCTGTGTTTAGATCACGGCACGTCTTGGAATGTGACAAAAAAGGATGTGGTGGAGGGAATTATATTTTCAAAGATACATGTTTGGATAAAGGTATATATGTATTGTGGCTCCACGGGGAGGTCTACTGGGGAATTACTGCTAAGTTGGATCTTAGGGTGTCTGGGAAAGTGGCAGCAACTGAGGCAAGAAAAGTAAGCAAGGACCAGCTCATGGAGGCAGAGCCCTCTTTGCCAAGATAAGGAAGTTGGATTTAATAAAAGCCAATGAAGGGATTCAGGTGGGGGGTGGGGAGGACCCACGCAGATGACTTCAGTGAGGAGGTGGATATGATGAAGAGAATAAAGAAGGCCTGCTGATTTAACACAAATGGTAAAGCGTGCCTCATTCAGAGGATGGCAATAGGGCTGGAGAGAAGACTCTAGAAAGTTTTAGGAAGTATAATTACAATACATGGTGACAGTTTTGGATGTGGAGGGATGAGAAAAGGCAGATTTCGATATTAATTTTTTTTCTTTTTTTTTTGGTTAGAAAAAGATTTCCTATTTACACTTACATTAAAGTTCTCCTAGGAGATGACTTGGATATCCATACATTTTTATACATGTAAATTTACATTCAAGTTATGGGATTCAGATTGGGTGGTCAAACAGAAAAGGAAAATCAAATCCTGAAACATGACCAGTTTTCCCCTATCTTGACTTTCTTCATACCTTTAGCCATAAAAGATTACAAGGGGCCTACTATGGAAATTCTCTTTAATGTGAAAAACATCCTCAATGTTATATATGATTTACCAAATACATAACTGCTCTATTCTCAAAGGGAAAATATTTCTAGCTGCTCTTTTAAAGAAGTGGGGACTTACACTTTCTATTTATGACACTGACTAATGCAGCCATTTATATGAAATTATTTTCTTTCATTGTCTGATAACAGGATATAAAATCCTTTGGGGGGGGCTCAGCTGCTCTTTTTTTTCTAGTGTGGTGTAAGAATTTCATTTATTCATAATATGTTTTTTGTCCTTGTTAATTAGAGCAGCAGTTGGCAGGAAAATGACAGCTCCTATATTTCTTTCCCCACTGACCAACAGCAAGCAGCAGTTGTTTTTTGAAAATTATTTAATGCACTTACATGCCTTGATTCAACCCATGAAATTAATACGGAGTGCCAACAGCTGGAGGAAGGCTGGGAACAGCTGTGTAGAGTGTTGTGTCGTTGGGGTCAGTTTCTCCCTTCTCCACAGTCCAACAGGGTTCAGCATGTACTGATGCCAATAAGGACACACCACTTTAATTTTAGGAATACCTACAAATTTGTGTACTGATTGATCCTTTAACTATCCTCCAACTCTGAAACCATGCCCCTGAAGGAAGGATTCTGTGGTCCTATGTATGAGTTCCATTTGTAGAGTCATTCTAAGCAACTGCTGTTGTGACAACTCTTGGATATAAGTGTAACTGAGGATACAGACTGGAATTTAATCCTTCAAGATACTTATTTCCCCACTGATTTCTGTCAATAAGTTAGGAGAAATACAATCAATGGGACTAAACCTACATTAAGATTCAGGTGAGTGGTAATATTTATCCCCTTATGTTTATGAGGCTGCAACAGATCTTAAGTTATTTAGGCCAAAGGGCTTCACTCACAACTTAGGAACACCCCCCAGTAAGCATAAAAGGCTTAGTTTTACAATGTAGTCCAGAGAACCCTGCCAGAGGCACTTTCTCGAGCAGACAAGTATCTTACGTCCCCTTCCTTCATTCTTCCTCCTAGACTGCTGCAGGGCTCGCTGCCAATTCAGTATCTTGAGAACCAGCGTCCAGATGTGACCTGAGCACGCCTCACCTGAAGACAAGTGCCACTACAGCGTGTGGCTAAGGCTGTGCAGTGGCCTTGCTGGGTTCAAACCCCAGCTTTGCTACTTACTAGCTATGGACACTGCTCAGTTATTTAACCTCCCTGTGCTTCATTTTCTTTACCTATAAAATGAGCAATAGAATAATAGCGCTTTCATAAAAGCTGTTCTGAGGATGAAGTCAGTGGCTCCACGTGAAGAGGTTAGCACACTGCCTGGACCACGGCAACTGCTCAGTCAGTGTTAGCTATTATTGAAGGAGTCTCTTCATTAGCATTTCAAAATCTCCTTTCACCCTCTGAAATGGAACACTGTGAATCCTCTATGAACAAACCAAGATCTAATTTTCTTGTTCACTGTCTTATTATACATTAGTGAGGACTCCCTGTATTGCAGAGTTGAATATAAGAATTAAAAAAAAACAAAACTGGCTTAAATTTCTGAGATCTTCAGTGTTTAGAGGCCGCTGTATCACAGGGCAGAGAAGCACAAACTTTACTGTCACCATGGCTGAAAAGGACTTTTCTCAGCTGAACCCCTTCATGTCTACATCAAGTTCATATGACTTTATCTTACAAGTGACAATAATTGGTATAGTTTGTTAACAATGATGTCTATTATCAAGGATCTGTAAGGTCACTGATTAACAAAAATCTATTGACCTCTGGGTCCTAGATTCTTAACTTTTTAAAATGCTTTGGCCAATGACTCTACCAGAGCCACTGATGGCTCCCTTCTTTACAAAATCCCTGTTCTGGTTGAACAATGAATCCTCTAGTTCTGCATTTCTCATACTGGAGGCCATCAGTTCCCTGTAATTATCTCTGTGAATTCACTTTGATGATAAAATAATTGATTTAAGCATATTCTAGAACTGCCATGCAATTTAGGGGCCCATAATTATATTCTTTTAGGATTATGATACCACCAAGTACCACTCCTTTAACTGATCAGAGAGAGGAGAAGGAGAGTGTATTAGGTATAGTTATCCCTTTTCCCTTCCTCTCCAAAATCTGTTAAGAACAAAGATTTTCTTATTGGGTCAAAGACAGAAATCTGGAGGAAGAATCGGGTTCTCAGAGAGTACTCAACAGTGAGGAAATGTCTAAAGAAACATTGAAAGAACCTGCGCCATGAAGGTCAGCATCACCTTCACTTGTCAGTAGTGACTCCTTCACGAAAACATGATCCTTTTACATAAATGCAGGCTGCTAATTTTAATTTTATTATCTTTGTAGTTTTATTTATATTTAAGTTATACAATTATTTTGGTTTTTTTTTTAAGTTTTATTTTATTTTATTTATTTAAGAGAACGAGCACGAGCAGGGGGAGGGCAGAGGAACAGGGAGGGGGAGAAGCAGAAAGCAGGAAGCCCAACGCGGGGCTCGATCCCAGGACCCTGAGATCATGACCTGAGCAGAAGGCAGACGCTTAACTGACTAAACCACCCAGGCGCCCACAATTAATCTGGTTTTTATAGATGTAAATCTGCAAATGTAAGATGTTTTGAGAACTTAGTTCAGTGCTTGTCTATGCTTAAACGATGCGTAACGATAATGCTGAGGAATTTTTTCCTTTAAAAGAAATCATTTCCTTTAGAAGTACACTCTTCTAAGCCCCTGTACAAACAATTACAGTTATCTTCCTGAAATGCACGTCTGGCCATATTCCATGTTCTACAGGGTAAGGACCAAACTCCTTAAGCCTGGCCCACAACTGCCTTCATGACTGGATCCCGCCATCTTTACTTCCCAGAACCAGCCTACGTTTCCCAACGGGTTCTCCGTCATGTCCTCTAACGTCTTCGCCTCTCTCTGGGTGAGATGCCACCTTGCCTCGTCTTCCTCCCACTCTCCACCCTACTCATTCATCCTTCTACAATCAAGTCAAGGAGTGTTGATGAAGAAACTTTCCCTGGTACCACCTTCTCCTTCCTAGGTGAGGTGAGTGTGCCTGGCACAAGTGACGTAGTGTAATAGTATCGACCTCATAAAGCTGCTGAGGGGATTAAATGGAACAACTTACATAAAACAGCTAGCACAGTAAATGCTTCATAAGTAGTAGTAGTTTTACTTGTAACCTTAAGAGTATCCTGCATGTATCTCTTTGATGGTTCCTACCACAGTGCTGTAATTTTAGACTGATGAGTCACAGTTCTCCACCATAATGAACTTTGGGAGGGAAGGATTTGGGCTTACTGGTTTTTATACAGTCCGTGGTAGCACAGGTCTGGGAGTAGCAGGTGTTCAGTTGAACATTTACTGAAAGAATAAATGAACGAATGAAGCAAAAAAGGATGAAGTTTATCAGACAGGACATGAGGAGCAGAAGAGATGGGACTCTCAAGCCACTTCTCTTTTTCCTTTTCCCCCGGGAGAGTTGCTGGACTGTGCTTACAGCATATAAAATCCCTGTTGGGGACCTCATAGCAGTCTTGTGGGTTGAACTCTGGGGATTTATATAGGAGAGGTGGGAAGATTTCCTTCTCCCTCCCACGGCATGCGGGATTTGACATTCTGCATCTGACCGTGGTAACAGCCAGAATTCCAAGAGAGTCGCTGTACTGCTTGGTTCTACGAAATCGCCCTCACTCACGTACGGGAGCTGCTCTGTACAACAGGGCTTATGCGGTGCTGTGTGCTTGGGCAAAGTGAACATACTGGGGCGTTCTCGAGAGGTCCCCACAAGGAGTAAGGCCGATGCTGGCTCTGACGCATGCTCCTACTGTTTATTTATAGCTTCTTATTAGTATGGGATTTGTTTTATTTGGCAAAAATACAAGATTTCGACGGACTGAGAGAGGAAGATGGAAGAAAATGCCTAAACATAAAGCTTCTACAGCTGAATAATAATCTGTAACTCTGTGCTGTATCAACAGGCTCCCCAGGGGCTGCCGAAAGCCGAGACCACTCCAGAATTCCGAATTTCATGGGCCGCAGACTTTACTGCTAGAAGTAAAGGAGTTTAACTGAAGCTTTTATTCCTCCATAGACACTTTCATTTATAAATGCTAAATTCACTAGTTGAGGCTAAATTTTCTGGTCAGCATACAAAATATGTACAATGAGTTCTTAAGTTCTCTAAGTAATTTTCAGCAACAACAGAAATGGTCAAAAGCCAAAATTAAAAATTTAAAAACACAAGCGAAGGATTTTATACGCTTCAACCCGGGAAAAATATACTTTCTCTGCGTTCATTTAAAATTACTCTCTGTCGTCTTACTCTGGTTCTTCTTTTCTTCTTCTTTTAAAGATTTTATTTATTTGAGAGAGGGAGAGCACGAGCAGGAGCACAAGCAGGGCAGAGGGAGGGAGAGAGAGAGGATTTCAAGCAAACGTCCCTCTGAGCAAAGAGCCCAATGCCAGGCTTGATCTCATGACCCTGAGCCGAAATCAAATGTCAGTCCCTTAATGGTCTGTGCTACCCAGGCGCGCCTCTGATTTTCTTTTATGGCATTTATCACAAACTGACATTCTTTTACATATTTATTTGTATATTAGTATTTGTCCCTAGAACATGAAAGTGAGGGCTTTTGTTTATCACTGGATTCTTTACAATGAGAATAGTCTGGAATATAATGGCTACTCATTAAATATTTTGTTGTGTGAATACAATAAAATTGGATAAATCTCTTGATTAAATAATTCTCTGAGGACAGCTACATTTGTGGAAGAGTCTTTTTTAATTATGAAAGTAAAGCAATTACTCAACTATAGTCACATTTAGCATGAATCAAAGTTTTGGGGATAATAAGAATTTTTAGAAGGCCTAAAGAACAAACCTGTTTATGCTTTAAGGTATCTCCTCTTTATCTTTTCTCTTAAAAATCAACAAAAGAGGTACTGCTGGTTTTAAAAAATTTGGATTTGATATTTATCACTACCATTCACCTTCTTAAAATAGAAGTGTTTGTTTCAAAATGAAATTAAGATTCTCGTGGAAAGTATGCCTTCCTAGCTCTATATTTTAAACTCAGGTCAACTACATAGAACCATAGTAAAATCTGAAAAATATCAATAAAAACAATGGAGTTTGGA